CCTGCCACTTTCTGTGCCAAGCAGCATTAGTTGTGAGCAACATGAAGGTAGAGAGAATCAGCTGGGAGATTGCAGAGAAGGAGCACCAAAACGATTGTCTCTTCTCTGCAAGGAAAAAGCTGAAAGGCTCACAAATTGTTTTGTAATTTAGAAAAAAAAATGACCTAGGTTGCTCAAACTCAAAGCCCTGATAACCAACATATTTGGTAAGTTCACATAGTATACTAAAACTACAAGAAAGAAACTGTATTATGGTGTAAAGGTGAGAGCCTGGTTAACATAACAGTGGCTGGACTCCCATAGCATGCTAATTCACAAACTGCCACACTGTAATGGACCGTGAGGGCGGCCTTGGAAGACGGGAAAGAGATGCCCCCTAGGGAATGATCAGATAAAAGAGAAAGGAGTCCACAACTGAATAACGGTCACAGAAAGAAACTTAGGAAAGACCTGCCCTAACTATGCAGGAGGTAAATAGGGAAGGCAGGAGATCTGTGCTTTCAGACTTGCAAAATTCTGTTAATGTAGCCTCACAGTAATGTAGAATTAGCTCATCTTGTCTTGTTTCCTGTCTGGTTTACCTGGGAGGGCTGACATACACCCTGGTTTGGTTTAATCTAACATGTTATATGAGCCACCCTAAGGGTGAAGGAGTGAAAGTGGAAGGATCCTATAAAAGTTTCTGTGATGAGTCTCATGCAGAGAAAGTTTTTTTTCTCTCTTTCTTAGTTTGAGAAGTTATGATGAATAAAAATACATAATTTATAGAATTTATCCAAGATGTGGTGGGCACTAACACTAGATTACAGGTATGTTACTTTTATGTGGCCAGAGACAACACTTCTTTTTTTAAAGAAATCCAGGAGTTGTGGATGATCAGTGAGGTCATTTGAAGGAGGTAGGTGGGCAAGATTTCGGCCCTGTTTGGAATTGAGGGATTTAGATAAGTTAAATGGGTGAGATAGGTCCATTAAATCTTACTTATCTTTAAGCCACCCATTTTGTTATGTAAGATCTCCCTTAGAAAGGAAAACCAGGATGAATTTGGAGAGGTGTTTAAAAGAGCAAATGGATGCAAGGTAGGATAGCCAAAAAACTTCAGGCGGAGAGGGATTAAGAAGGCCTTTGGTCAAAAGAAATGTCTGAATTCAATTTCTGCAGTTTTTTTCAGAGCTCTTCATTAACTGTGCAGCAGACAATGGTGAGCCAAATGTGCCCACTAGACTTGTCAGTATTTACGTTTAGCTTGTAAGCTCTTTGGGCACGTGTCTTTTCCTTGCTTATGTTGCTACGTGAAGCGCTATGAACTTTGGTTATATTAGAATAATAAAATTATTTAACACAGTGTCTGACGTGCCATGCGTATGGATGCCTGCCAGGGACAATTCTATTGATTGATTGATTGTCCAAAATTATATGATGCCTACTTATATGGCTCTAGGCAGCTTACAACATACAAAGCTCAAAACAACCATAAAAACAATACAACATTACAATAGAGTCAGTTGCTGACCTAAATGAAATCTTCCTATCTGACTGCTCTACAGAGGAAGACTATCTTCACTAGTTTCTGAAGGACAAAAGAGTAGATGCCAGTCTGATCTTTGGGGGCATGCCAGAGTGAGGGGGGGAGCCACAGGAATGTCTACAACACCTTTCTCTTCTTTATTCCCTCTCCCCTTTGAACCATGCTTTGGACTGGTAGGATGGAACAGCTTGGTGATGTTTATTAGCCAGTTACAAATATATTCCAAAGCCTAGTATAACAGAAAAAGCCAAAATGTGTGCATGTGAATGAGTGTGTACATTTCTGTCCAGGTCATCAATTTCAGTATTTCCCTTCTAGAAACCAAGGAGGAGCTGGAGGAATTAATGTCTGACATCAAGAAGACAGCCAACAAAGTGCGCTCCAAGCTAAAGAGTTGAGTAATTGCTGCAAGTGTAAGGAGTGAGCAAGCCACTCCTTGCATGACTGTAATTGGGGTAATTTTTTGGGTTTCCAAGTCTCTCTCTGATTTGGAATAGTGGATAATGAAGTGGTGCAAGCTTGCAGAGGCACCTTGTGTGCTTGGAGCTGTCCACAGAGAGATTTTGCCTGAGGGTTACTGCCTTAGTGGGAATAAATCTTTACCGAGTCTTGGAGGGTGGAGGGATAGCACTATGCACCTCCAGTGGGTAAAGTAGGAGCCTGTGAGCATCGAATTGCAGGCCTCTGCTGATAGCTGTGGAAAAGCAAGCTTTGACTGTTAGTCAATTTGCAACATGGTGGTAGGATTTTGAAGAGTGGTAGGAGAGAAGTGGATGATGGAGGAGTCCCTGTATAATTCAAAGAGCTCTATGTATTCTCATCCTCCTTATCAGAGGCACAAAATTCACCCTCTTGGGAGTCTCCACTTCAGGCTTGTTTCTTTTGAACCACTCCTTTGTTTTTAATTTTTACCACTGTAATGTCATGCTTGAAACTGCAGAAATGACTGCAAAAATCTAAATACAACCCCCAGATTCCTCCATAGTGTTGAGAGAGTTCCTGCTTATCTCCTTGTCTAGCAAAATAGGAATAAGTGATGCAAACCTGGGACTGTACATGTGGTGCTAGAATTCCATATGGGGTTTTGAGAAAGAGGGAGAGAGAGCAACATGTACCTCTTAACGTGATGCCCTCCTTGATAGACATCATCAGCTCACTTCCCAAGTCTAGTAGTAGTTGCTCAACAGTTCAGGAAGTCTCAAGTTCAAATATCTTCTCCACTGTAGAGCTCACTAAATGATTGTGAATTCCTTATTTTTTGCATAGCCAATCTAAGAGCTTGTCAAATTGTTACAGAATTGAGGCTCTAGAGCACACTGGCTGCTGGTGTCACTGCTGTATGCATTTTTGTGCTTCTTCAACTGATCCATGAGTAATGATAAAGGATGCTAAAGAGTCCTGTATGGGAAAATCTCGCTCTTTTCACTCTGAAGCTTCTAACCTTTTCATGAAACTTTTTAAAGCATCTTCTGCTGTGCTTCAGGGAAACCTCTAAATCCAGCTGATTGTGAGCAAGCTGCCTTCCATGGTTAGCAAAGCTTGGAAAATATAAATTAAAAAAAACACACACAGTTAATGTGAATATTAGGGTTCACCTTTGCTGGCCCAGATTTTTATTTTTTTTAAAATTAAAGCACCACAGCCCTCAAATGAAGCCCTACAGGTGATAACTTGCCAGGTACAAGTTTTAAAAATGGGTCGTCTATAGTTGGCTTCTTCCCTTCTGGAGGGTTATTTTTAGTCCAGTCTGAAATGGATGTTCAGCAGGCAGAGAAGGAGAGACAGAGACTGAGACCATCTGTTTCTTGGTTTACCCTCCCCTAATGTGCTTTTACTTCCCTCTCTGAAAATAGGTTCTACTTTTCTGCTTTTTCTCAGGTATTGAACAGAGTATTGAACAAGAGGAAGGGCTGAACAGATCATCAGCAGATCTGAGAATAAGGAAAACTCAGGTGAGTCCATTTCTAAGAAGCCATGTTGCCCATCAATCCAGAGATTTTCATGCACAGAATAACACAGGGTGATCAAAATTGTAGATTACTTTTAAAAATCTTGCTGCTATTGAAAGTAGCTCCTCCTGTTTTCAACATCTGGAACAGTGGTTGGCAACTGTTTGGGACCCTGGATGCCATTGTATGATCTTCATGATGCCTAGAATGTCTCCCACCCACCCCATGAGGCATTGTCTGTATTGATGCCCAAAACTTAGAGCTGTTGGGAAAGACAGTGTACTTGACATTCTCCTCCCCACCTCTTGTGTATGGGCTAAAGGAATTCACCTTTTCAAGGAACAGAATCAAATCCAAGTCCTCCAGAGGTTGCCCAAGACTTTATTTATGTCATCTTGTGACCTTTCTGAAACCAAGCAGATGGATGATGCTCTGTGGAAAGTAAATAAGGAAATTACAGGGACACCATTGGAAGTGGACAGGGTCCTAGGGACTGTGAAGGCCACTACTTGCCATCTTGACCCATGCCCCTCCTGGCTGGGGAAGCTGCT